AAAGTTTATTGTAGCAAAAAGTATTTATGTTTCACGAAAAGAAGACTTCAACTCAAAAGTAATCGATTTTGAAGAGAAACGCTCAGCATGAGTCTAGATTGTTCTTTATAATGAGATGCTATTATTGTGGGGATGTCGAAAGTGTAAGGTTTTACCCGGTATTTAATATATGCATATTTCAAAGTGTTAGTATGGTGGAAAATAAAAGAATAGAAAGGCATTTCTATTGACGAAAACAATCAGTTTTTTGTTTCAAAACATTTTATAAGAATCCAAAAGATAAAATGTCCCTCCTATTAAGACATGCAAGAGAATACGTATGCAACGATTACGAAACCTGCAGCAGAAAAGGATGGTTCAGTATCAACTGAGCTAGCTAGGGTTCAAAATGAATGGAAAAATATAATGAAAAGTATCGAGGAGCGGTTCATATTTGATAAGATCCAGCAACTATTTCCCAAGCATAACGCTGAATCTTTTCGACTGAAATATCATAGGTTTTGATTAGAAAAACTATAGTTTGATTAAAAATAAATCGTATTATTTTTGCTAACGCGATGTTTAGATGTTTTTCATATAAATCATTATCTGTCCTGGTGGAATTATGCAGTAATAGAAGTATTTCTCACTAATGAAACTCTTTTGACATGTGATCCATTTTGTCGATTAGAAAAAGCTTTAATATTTACCCGAACCAAGTAGATGTCTCAATGCTAATTCATAACCTGAATTTTATTTTTATTCAAACTATATTTTTTCTCTATGATGAATGTTTTTCTTTGATTTTTCAGAAGACTTTGTCGTGTAAGAAATCTATATCAGAATACATTAAAACTTGCGTGATCGACTAGTATAAAGAAAGTTACGTAGACCTGATTATCATTAATGCTCGAATATAATATGCATGGGGATTATTTACTACTTCAAACGATCTGCATACAGTAAAAACAATAGGGCTGATTGTACAAACGATCATTTTCTAGAGCGTCGTCTAACAGTTTTGCATATGAAAGAAACAAAATTTTGCGAAAAAACCAGTTTCACCACTTTTAATAACCCTTCCTTTCTTCTGATGACATATTCACCATTGCAGTGAATTTTGTTTCCTTTTTTTTCAATATTTATACTTAAATACTTATATAATTTGTCATATTAAACTGTCATCATTGGAAATTAATTAATCCCAATCTTTTTTCCATAAATGATGCAATTTAAAAGATTAGAATTTTATATTAAAAGCAAATTAGACAGGCCAGGCGGCCTGCCACTTTAAGTGGCCTGCCTGACCTGCCTGTCACAGGCCAGACCTAAATATCGTGGCCTGTGCCTGTCACAGGCAGGCAGGCCATATGGCCCGCTTGGCGCTCTGATACACACATATCACGTGACCAGGTGTGGGTGCGGAGAACGGAATTTGGGGGAGACGACGAAAAATGAATAATTGAATAGTTGAAGTAGATTTTCAATAATTGAATTTAACTTTCAGGTTTGACACTACTGTGAGGTCTATGACCACTCATGTTTTAAGCATCTTTGGAATTTGTTCAAATATTAGGTGATTACAGATCTTTCTCGCATCACAATAATCTTTATTTTCTTCACACGTAATACTACTTTCTCAAATATTATCTACTTGTGGATGAAGATGATGAAGAAAGAGAAAGTGAAGCGTTGATAACGCAGCGATGAAGAATTAACTGCAGAAAATGAAAACATAGAAGATAGTGGTGATAATAGCGAGTGAAATGCTAATGTAACAAAAACAAAATTAGCCGAAACAATTAAAAAAAGTCGTTCATTAAATCGTATTATAAATCTTTCATAAACTTTAACCATGTTTGTCAATAATCATAAAAAGACCATTCAATCTATTTCAACAACTAGCTAGTGGTCGCATAACTAGGTGGGAAGGTCATCTACATCTTCTTGAAATCTTTCTTGGAATACAAACCAATTTTATTTTATTTATTCGAAAATGAATCAAAATTATCATTAACATGAAAACAAAAGGAAAAACAATAAAAATCATTAGAATTATCCAGTGATAAATAGACAATTATACCTAATTTGATGCTCTGATTGGAATTGTTTTATTATGCTGTTGATTTTCTTAGCGGATAAAATTATTCAATTATAGCCTTGACTGTTTTTGCCTTACGTAATATAAAAGAATTTCTGTCAACAGAAGGCGATTACCATTCAATTATTTACAATCTACGAACAAAATTTCTTCTCGATTCGTTGAATTATTATTTTAATAAAGCTGATAACCAATATCGTCTTTTATTAGTAGATAGCTTTGTCTGAAAACTTGAACACATTGAAAAACATGTTAAACACTTCAATAATGATTTGAGAGAATAAAACTCTTTTTTGATAACAATAATAAATTAACGTATCAGAAAAGTAATACAAGTATAAAATGATCTCGAAATTAATCAGCAAGAAAATAAAACCAAATAAAAGATACTGACAGAAGTATTCTGAGTGATTAGCAGATAGGACCCGATGATTATATTATCTTTTAATATTAATACTCTTTAAAATTAGATCATCACTCAAGAGGTAATAGTTTGCGACGGCCTTATGAAATCTAAATATTTTTTCTTACACAAATACTAGAGTGTGACTTTTCAGAGAAAACATGGTAAATTTCGTAGAATAAGTAAAAGTTATACTAAAAAAATGCAGTCTGTGAAGTTGAATATCAAACCATCAAGATCTCATATCAAAATCGAAAAGTTCAGATTTTTTGAATTAATAAGTGTTGTATTTTGCTGAGCTTATGATAGTTGTGCAGTACATTCTATCATTTTATTCGATAAAAAGAACTTATTAGACCTCTTACGATACACAGAACATATTTTTGTCCAATTCTACTCCTCTTGTGAAGCAGTCTAGTACTATTTTATCGTTTAGAGACTTCTTAGCATGCGAAAGTTCTAATTAGATGATAAAAATGCCTCTCCAACATATTTTACTAAAACAATTGTGCTCGAAAAAAGAAAGATAAACGATACAAGATGAACATTGCTCTTCATCATTCAATCTGTTTGATGTGCAAGTTCTTTTAAGAAGCTTGATCTTGTAAAGTTGAAAATACGCTGTGCGCAACTAAATTAAAACCTATATTTGAAATATACGACATACTGTGTTCGTTTTTTTTTGTTTAGTTGTACGACTATTTCGATCCTTTAGAGTTTTCAATATGAATATTAAGTGAAAAAACGAAAATTGAACGATAATTGTAACGAAAGAGTTAGGAGCAAAATCAATCGTTCTGCGTTCATAAGATACGAATTAGTCTATGATAATAAATTTACAGTAGAAAAAAAAATACTGGAATGAGTATAGTCGACTAGATTAGTGCTATATCGTGATAGCTAATAAATTTAAACATATCTAACGAGATCTTATACTTCAAAAAGTGTCATTACAAGCTTTATACAGTAGTTTTTACCGTTATCATTTTATTTACCTCTACGTCTTTCCTATTGATCATGGTTTATATGTTTAGGCATATGTAGTCAAGTGTGCCATATCCGAAAGTGAATTCAGATTTCTTCGTTTAGAATGTGACGTACGAGAAAATGTTTGATTATTCAAATACAGATTTCTTGGGTTGGTGTGACGAATGTGGGATGATTCGAGAAAATATTCACCCACACTCACATTCACACACGTCCGCGTAAAGTTAATTGAAATAAATTTTATGAAATGTTGTATTAATTTTAGCACCTATTTTCTGTTCTTTTGTTCTTGGTTCATACTCAAATTTTAGTAATTGAAGATGATTTTCTGTTGTAAATTTATACGGCTGTTGTGATACTTTTGTTTGGTTATTATTATTATTACTTAGACTTACAAATTTTTATTATTATTCTTTAATAATGATGATTGATGTTGTTGGAATGATCCTGATCATGTGGGTTGTGTTCGATTTAAATTGTTATTATTCATACTTCATTTAATGAATTTGGACTTATTATTGTTCTTATTGCAAATCTCTCTTCTTTATCTTTCATTTTCTTTTTAACTTGGTGATGCATAACTTGCTGATATTTCATATTGTCATTACCATCGAATCTATTAGAGAGTGATTGTTTTTGAAATTGTCTATGATTTGCATTCTGATATTTTCATGATATTGACCTTTCAATTCTTTCTTGAAGATTCTGACACTGCTGGATATACTCTTATAAATCAGTTCCATCACTTAATCTATCCCTTTGCGCAGCATGCATCTTATTATAATTGTCATACGTTATTTTTAATACTTAATATCAATTTTAATTTGAAATAACTAAGCACATTCTGGTCATGTTTGAATACACGTGCACACATGCGTTTAGTACACGCCCAACATCGAAAGGAGGAACGAGAACACGTCCTGTCTGTACAATGCGAAAGGAAGGTATGTGAGAATTCAAGAATAATGAATCGTTACAGTTGTGAAGCTGATTTTTTTTGAGTGTGCTCGTTACAATGAATTTAGACGATCATCTTCATTCTAACTGATCCAGGAATATCTCGACAAACACATCTTCTTGTTCGTAGCAAATACAGATAGTAAGAATGTCAAAGATAATCAAGGTGGATGGATCTTTTTGTCAGTCTAGCAGCTAATAGCAAGTGCAAGCAAATATCAGCATATGGCAAAAGAAAGTTTTGATTTTATATAAAGGATACCATAGAAAATATGAGTAAGATTACTACATACATTGATGTATATATGAATGTAACATCTAAGGGAAAATAGGCTGTATGCAATAGATTGCATGAGTTCATATCAACTACCATAGGGTCAATACTCATACTTTTGTCCTATTTGTAAGTCATATGATGGGATCCTACTTCACAAAATGATACTATCGTACTGTTTTTATTCAAATTAATTTGCTGCAATATTAAGATGGGCCGACAGATACTTAATCTTCTTAAGTCTTCAATCAATATAGAAAATGTGAATCTACTTTTTGTTTTGCATCTATTTTTTTATTACTTTTATCGAGTAATTTTATTGTTAAGGTTATCATGGATGCTGGATTACTTTTTGTACTGATTTTCTTTTGTTGGTTAGAAAATCCGACAACAGCAATTTCTTTACAGATCGATACAAGCATTTCTCAAAGAACTACCGCATCTTTAGGATTGGTTGGCGATGCTGCAGATGTTAATACTACTACTGTTGCAGGTACTGTTCTAATCGGTGGTGGTGAGGATGTCGACCAAGCTTTTCAATGGATGATCAAAAAGGCAGGTGGTGGCGATTTTGTTGTACTTCGAGCTTCTGGTACTGACGCATACAACAGCTATATTTATGAATTAGGTCCTATAAATTCTGTTGAAACATTACTTATTGACTCTCGTACTTTGGCTAATGATCCTCAAGTTGAAAAAACAATTTTAAATGCTGAAGCTATATTCATTGCTGGTGGTGATCAAGCAAACTATGTTAACTTTTGGAAGGATACCAAAGTACATCATGCACTTGATTATTTGCGTAATGTCAAACAAATACCAGTTGGTGGTACTTCAGCTGGTTGTGCTATTCTAGGTGGTACTTATTTCGGGGCTCTCCAAGGAACAGTTACTTCTCCCGAAGCTCTTAATAATCCTTACATTAGTCTTGTTACTCTTGGTCATAAAGATTTTCTTAATCAACCTTATCTTTCTGATGTTGTTACCGATTCTCATTTTGATAATCGTGATCGTCATGGCCGTCTTATAACGTTTCTTGCTCGTATGAGTCATGATCATGGAATATTAGCTCGTGGCATCGGACTTGATGAGTCAACTGCTGTCTGTATTGAACCAAATGGTATCGGAAAAATATATGGTTCTGGTAGTGCTTATTTTCTCACTCAAAATGGAATCGATGGCACACCTGAAAGATGTGAGGATGGCTTCCCACTTGATTGGTATCGAAATGAAAAAGCTGTAATAGTATACAAAATTCAAGCGACCATCGATGGTGCACACATTTTTGATGTTAGTACATGGGCATATGGTACTGGTGGCAATCATCTATATTACTATGTACGTGATGGTGTACTCTATAAAACTGCTTATTGAGTGAATAATGGTAGAATATATATGATCTTTTAGTTCATTTTAAGCATTTTGGAATAGCTTGTAATGTGTATAATGCTGTGAGACTAAAACACTGATTTAAAATATAACTAACAATAATCGAAAAAGGGTGTTGGTGCGGTCAGATGTTGATGAGAGAGAAGACATACGCTGTAATCTCACATTTCACTCATGCAGGCCAATACTCATTCACATAGCCTTTCAGGAGTGCTATGGATGAAACAATTATTGAAATAGAGTATTATTGTCTTCGAAAGAGTATGGATCTATTGATCGATCAGGCTCACTCTCGTTTATGACGGTAGTTTTAGTTATGCTAGTGACTATTTGAAGAAGAACGACTCAACAGAAACTTTGCTGGAGACCTTCCATAAGTCAAATGTAATTTGGCCAAGAAACATGGTGTAAAGCTTAGAGACATCTCATTTTGTAGAGAATCGTTCATTCTATTATTGTCTCTGGTGAAAGCACATTTTATATCCAATTTGTTGGTGCTGCAAAACTAGAGTTTTTTTTCTAGAAATACCTTCGTAGCTATTCTGTATTTTTCGATCTCTAACATCTATCTAACTTTTCTGAAACTTTCAAATAGTATTGATACTAGTAATAATAGCTGTGATCGTCATAATATATATTACACAATACGTTCTTAATAAGTATCTTCTCTGTTGGTAGTACAACATTTTATTTAAAGAAAATAACCTTTTATTAATTAATAGCTTATGTAGCTCACTACAAGGTATTTCTCAAAACTTTTTTTTTTTTTTTTTTTTTTTTTTTTTATTTGCAAAAGCTGGTGACCTTTGTTGGTCCTATCAGTACAAAAATCTTTAAGAAATTACAGAGAAAAAGCGTTATTTTAACATAGTGGAACTGTAGAATAAATAACATGCACACAATTTTTACTACATTACAAAAAATTACAGTTCTAACATCACTTCTTAACTATTTAATTTTGTCCACACATANTTTAGAGCCAAAAAACACAGTGAATATACTTTTTCACTTTTTGAAGTACACATAACACTCGGATTTAAATCCGAGGTTTTCGCATTTATTTTTTAATAAATGCCGTCGTCCAGAAAAACTGATTTTCGAATTTCGATTTGAAACATTACATAGAGAGGGGCCTTCATGAGATAGTTTTTTTCTGTAAATGCGAATCATTTTCAGACTAGTATTTATAGCTCATTTGGATCGACATAATGCGCATAGTTTCGACTTAAACGCGATTGATCAGCTCGAGAACTTCACTCGTTAGACTAAAAAGTTGTTAGCATAATTTCTGTAGGAACTATGATGTAGTTACTCTTGATGATCATATGGAGATTGCTTTATTCTTAATGTGAATATGACTTACGCAGAGTTCTAGGTGACATGCAGATCATACGAATACCGAATGTAAAATAAAGCCATGGAATAGAACCAAATAATGCTAGAATAAGTATTTTGCCCGGATGAATATTATATGCAGTATATCCTTGTTTTGTTAATTGAAGAGCCTATCGAATAAAAATTTTAGAAAATTTTCTCATTCATTCATAAATCTTTTACTTCTCGTTGAATATTTTTTTTCTCTTCAAGTACAGTTGCTGTTTTTCCTTTCATAGCTTGCATATTAAGTTCTTTTATGCGTGGTTCTAATTCATTTGTAACAGTACGTCGAACAATTTGAAGACGTTCAATAAAACGTTGTTGTGTTATTGTTATTGATGCACCAACAACAACACGAAAAGTAATTGTTGCTAAAGCTATTGTTACCCACCATGGTAAAGCTAAACTATCATGTATTTGTAGAAGACTATTAGCAACAAATTCAGATGGTGCTTGAACAAATGTTTCATATGCAATTGTTGTTGATGGTTTTTTTTCAAAATTAAGTGAATGTTCTTGAAGAATAGTTGATAAATCAACTGATGATGAAGAATTATAACGTGTTACTAATAAAGATGCAATTCGATTCGAAGGAAAATGTGAATAAGATAAAATAAAACGACGACAAGATAACATTTTTTTTAACAATTAATCTAAAATAATTTATAATTTGTTTTATTTTTTACTTTTCATTAAATTTTCAATATTAAATCAATAGACGAAAATTCAAAATTTCAATGTCAGATAGAGAATTTCGAAAACAAAAATCAATCTTTGATTTTTATAAGCTATCAATAGATATTTTATGTATCTAAGTCAAATATATGACGAAGATGTTCTTAGTACGAAATATAATTTAATCGAAATTGAGTCAAATGAATATTTCTTTTTACTATAAAATTTCAGAGTAATCGAACATATATATTGATTAATTTCAAATTCAATAATTAGAAATGTTCAAAGTTTAATACTAACTCTTATTATATTAATCATTCTATATCAAGTGCAAAATCTAAGTATGCATTTTTAATTATATACTTTAATAAGATAATCAGAATATTTGAGTTTAGAATTTGAAGTTCTCTGAAAGGAATGAAAAAAAAATTTAAAATATCATGAAAGAATGATTATAAATATATTTCTCTCTATGTGAGCCGTTGAAGAAATCATTTTCAAAATATAAAAAGGAAATCCTCTTATTCAAATATCTATATTAATCTCGAAGTTTATAAGTAGCTTTCCTTTTACTTAGATTAACAGATTACAGAATCAAAGCGGATATAAAACAAATTAAAAGATGCTATTTTTCCAACAGGAAAAAAAACAATAAACAGTTTCGATTAACATGTACGTCGTACTAATGTCATCATTAGCATATTAATTGACAACAACTGCAAAAAGATCTGAAGTAGATCTTCAAATGAATTGGACGATTTTGAATAAAAATTTATATTTGTAGCTAAATAATATTAATTCATCCCATTTAGGTATGTACCGAATCCAAACTTTTGGATTCGCTCTTGACTGCAGTCATTTTCACATAATTAATAATAGGATGCTAATAGAAAAGATCTCAGAATTGTCTATGATAGATCTACATTCAGTCAAATAAATAATTCAAAAACTAAACGGCTATAAACAACCTAAAAGAAACTCAACCTTATTCAAAAAATGCTCGAATTCGAATACTCAGGTGTTTCCATAGTTGCGCTCATATAGATTAAGAAATACTTGAACAATTACGTAAATACTCAATACTGTTAGGACAGATTAAATATTTACCAAGTACCGAACCAGAGTTCAAGTTCTGTACATGCCTATCCATAATCATTCAATATTAAGGTAGAAGTGTTAGCTTTTAGATTCTTTTAACCTTATGTTAGTACAAAAAAATTGTGTGACCATGATGAATCATATGAAAAACAAATTAATATTTATGAGTAGCTTAAGCCAGTATGAAAAACGAGACTTTGGATCAAGATCTTGAATTATATGAAATCTACCCGAATTAATAAGCAATTTCATCGCCCAATTCATTGTAGTCTCTGACTATATCTGAAGCCAACTCAAAGATAGAACCAGCACCAGTTGGTCGTCAACCTATCTTATTGACTTTTCTGCTTATATCATATCAACTTATTCAAAACTTCTATTAATCTTGAGATTCATTCGTAGAATTTATGTAAGCTTTTCCAAAGTCACTTTTTGGAAAATCCAGCGGATTTTAACATCTAAAAGCTTGGTTTTCCGTCACTTAGTTGCTAATAACTCCTATTTGAATATCAAAAAAAATTTGTTTAAAAAGTCTTAATTTTCTAGGTAAACATTAACACAAAAAAAAATATATCCCGCTATAGAAAGCCACCTTCGGAAGAGCAATATGAATTTCGATGATAAGAGACTATGACTTTTTATTGTGGAGAGAGTCTAATAAAATTCTTCTTTTGGCAATTGATCATATCAAATAATATTATCTATCTCAAAGTGTTTTTATAATTAATCTATTAAAAACCTTATTGCCTGTAATGTTGCAAAGATGAACACGATACCCATAGTAGTTTTCAAAAATCCAAACCGTTTCTATCTCTGATCTCAAAAACTATCGTTCTCGAAGCATAGATTTTAAAAATTTTTGAAGTTTAATTGATCAGGAACGTTCGATTTTATGAATTGTTTTTTCCTAATCAATTCAACCTCATTGAAATTCATGATCAATAATTATAGTGGATGTTTGTTTCTTTCAAACATTGAAAATGAAGAAAAGAAAAACAGAAGTTAACATTTTTTGTTTATATTATTATTTAATTAGAAAAAAAAAAACAAATATTTATGTTTATAATTTTAATGCTGTTAAACTAAATCCATCTCCAATATATTGACTAATATAATCAATTAAATCATGTTTTTTTTGTGTAAAACGAAATGATTCAAGTTCATAAATAGTACATATATTATAAATAATTGCTTCATGAATATTTTCTTGTTTATCTCGTATTAATTTTTCATATAAATCTAATGATTCTTTCATTTTTGACATATAGAGTAAAATAACACAATGATTATTTATTTCAATAGGATTTTTTAATGTTATTATTAATTTATTTGTTAATAAATCATTACGAAATAATGAAAAAAGTTCTTTTGTTAATAAAAATTCTTTTGGTAAATTTTCTTGTGATGGTAATAAATTTAAAGCACGATCAAATGCACGTTGTGCATTATAATCATCACCTGTTTGAAGTAATATACGTACAATTAATAAATAAAGTTCAATTTGTTGTTCTAAATTTTCATTTTTAATTATTTGATTTTCAATAATTGATATTATTAAATCAATACGTTTCATTAATATATAACAATTTGCTATTGAATATAATATACGTAAACGTCTTTTATGCCATAATTGTGTTTGATCTTTAGGTAAAATACTTAATATTGTATTTGTTATCATTAATAAACGAAATAAACGATCTAAACCATCATGAAAATGATTTGAATCCATATAAATAGGTAATTCAGCATGAAGTAAACGTAAACTAAATGGTAATTTATTATATGAATTTAAATTTCCAAATGTTTCAAATTCATTTTCAATTGTTTGAAATAAACGTAATTTAATTAAACAAGCAAAACGTATAAACCATATATGATAATCATTTGGATATTTTAATAAATAATTTGTTGTCCAATCAACAGCACTACGCCAACATTGTCGTTGAAGAAAATTATTTAATGATTCAATTGTTTGATGATCACCACGTAATGGATCAAAGCTATTTTCATTATCTGATGATTTTTTTGTTATTATTTGTTGTATTGGATTACCTAAATATTTATCAGGAATAATATGTGGCGTTTGAGTAGATGTAACATTTTCGATTAACCATAAATCAGATATATCGATTTCATTTAAACGTGCACGAATTGTTGATGCCCAATGTGGATCATATGCAAACCAAATACTTTGTGAAGACATTCAATATTTATCTAGAATAATTAAAATTTTATTATGATTTAATATGAGTATGAGAGAAAACCTATGATAATGTATTAAATTTCAAGAAATTCTTTTTTCTGCATGACTAGAAAAATTGAGTACAGAAGAATAATAAAAGATATATGAGGATAGCAGTCATCAAAATTACAATTTACTAATTATGAATAAAACAGTTTTATGCCATGTATCGATTATCACTCACACTTTTATTATCTCTTGCAGACATAACATTATTTCTCTAATAATCTATGCTTCCATTGATACTGAGATTTAAGTCTTCTCTATTTCTCTTTTTCAAAATTCATCTATTGTGAGATAAAAAGACCGATTTTATATATACAAAAGAATCCAATTCTTGTTAATATTACAAGGATATCTAATAGACAATTCGTTGTACATAGTCTCGTTTTGTTTAATCATATGAATTTTAATGTATAATTATCATTTCATTCAAATAGAAATATTTTCAATCAAAATCTAAAACAAAATCTTTCAACTTAGTCGTGAAGTTCACTTCGTTAGTTATCAAGAAAATCCTATGAGTCATCTAAATATGTCATTGATTGGTTGAATTTTTACTATAACCATTCAAAATTACTATTTGTTCTCTTTAAATCAAAAAGTTATTTATTATAATTTATAAACAAATTTATATGATTATCAACGAGATTTATTTTTGCTAAATGAATTATATCGTATTGTAGCGTCATCTGTTTAGTATTGAGAATAACAATTATTAGATAAACTCATTGTAAATCAAATCGGAAATAAATCAAAGGCATCAGAGTAAATAGATTATAATCTGCAACGTCAAAAATCGTTGTATTATCTTATTACTCTTTGTGATTCATATACAATTGTTGAATAACGAAGTTCTCTTTGATGATCTATCACTATCTATTTTATATAGATATGATTAAAAAAAGGAATTAGCATGTATTATTGTTCATTGGGAGATTCAATATTAAAACAAATCTTTTAAAGTTTTGTGTCTGAAACAGATAAACTTATTCGAAGAATAAAGGTTCTTGTATATAAATGTAACGTAACAAAAATGTTAAGGAATAACTGATGTATACATTGATACAAAATATTGATCGACATAAGAGAAAAAACTTAATAATAATTTCTGTCATTGTTTAATACTTAACAGACAACAGATTTATTATCTGTCAGATTAAGAACTATATAAGAAAAAACACAGAACAGAACGGAGGTAAAGAGCTTAATATTAATCCAAGGAAACAACACAGTTTAACATAAATATGAATGCAAGATCATTTTTGAAAAATGTTTATTGTTGATCTAAAGAGCTATCCTAAACATAATAATGTCACATGTGTCGGAAAAAATATGACACAGCGCATGACACTTTAAATTGCGACAGATGGAGCTCGGTGTGACATATATTTTCAAGCAAACTTGAGATTGATTATATTGCGACACATTTTGAAAATGTCATTTCAATCGAGTCGTCTGCATGTCTATCATTTGTTTTGATTCAATCGGAAGAGAATAATTATTAGTTTTTCATTTAATGGAAAAATAAGTAATATTGCCTTTCAGAATCAAAACGGAAGCATGTTTGTCGACCGATCTCTTCGTATATATTCTCAAACAATAATTTATTGAGAAATTATCTTAAAAAAAATAAAAACATGCGAAAATATGTTTTTTTTTGACATATTCAAACAAGTTGATTATGTGTGACTATATGAACAAAAAAAAAACACAAGATTGAATCAACACTGAGAAGTTAAACTAAAGATATATCTATAGCCTAACACATTCTATAAAACATGATCTAAAAGGAGTGTTAAAATGTAAGGGTAAAAATTTGAACTCTGAGTAGATCGTAATAGATGTTATTGATATACGATCACAGACTGTATATCAGTAAGGTCTCGTTTGAATATATGAAATATTTTCTTATTGCATTTCTGAAGGATTAAGTAAAAGAATGGTGAAGAAATGTAGCGAAAAACAGATAGAATAAAAGAATGTCTCTGTAATTAGTACCAGCAGCTACATCGTGTTTTACATTTTAATTTCACAGAAATTGTGCTAACAGCTATTATTTTAATGTGTGGACTTTTATTTGAATCAATATTATTCATTTATTACTGCTATAATTGTTCTTTCTTTATGAATAAATTGTCATTTAAAATTTTCTAGGAGAAAAATATTTATTACTAGTAGATTTTTATATGATATTTTCGAGGTAAAATGTTTTTTAACAATATCGTTTTTCTTTTTTTTCCACATCATTGAATGTCTAATAATAGTCATGCGATACTTAATGAATAATTAGTATTATCATTCTTGTGAATTCTTCAATAATACTAATGTGCTTTGATACTCAAAATAAAGTTGTTCTGTGTATTTTATTTTGTCCTAAACAAAAAAAAAAATAAGCCGAAAATCCGAAAAGGTCAAAGTTCTCCAGGCACTTCTTTTTGATGCTTGTTTCTATCGTTCTCTTTCTTTTTCTTTTTCTAAAGAACGTTTTATGAAATCGAAAAGACAAATGTATTTCTTTTGTTAATAAGAGCAGCAATATAACAGTTAAAGACCCATGTCTATTACATGCAGACACTATCGTTAGATAAGAAAAAATAGCTCGAGTTTATTTCAAGTACGATCAAACAAAATAACATATTTCAATAATTCAAAAATTTCCCAACAATAAAGAAAAGTGAGATATGAAATAACCTATGACAAACGAATGCAAAATGTATATCTTATTTTAATTTTTTTTTTTTGTGCGTCAGACATCTGCCTTTTTCCTGTTATCATCTTTTTCAAAACATCATAAAGCAAAACAAGTTCGTTTTCTTCTTTATTCTTTTTTAGTATCATTGAAAATATGTATTATTATTGGAATATACCAGTTACGTCTAAGTAATACAGATATATGTTTTTCTTATACCAGCAGCATATTGTTTCAATACGAATGCAATGAGACCTATTATAATATTTTTTGTTTGCGTATTTTTTAGAAAAAAAAAAAAAAAAAGAAAATTTATTGACAGTGTGCACTAGAGAATTCTAATCATTTCTCATAGATTATTTGATTTGCTAACGTTATTTTACTGATTGTTTTTTGTATTTTTCATATTTTAAATCAAATCCTATTTACATGTTTTGAAACAACGGAACATTTTAACCTTTGCCATTTTGTTGAGATAATATAGTGTGTTGCCATTATTTGCATAGATAGAATAAATATTGATTTTCTCCATCAAACAATAAACACCACTTTGATTAAGGTCATATAGTTATGGAATGTACTCGGAAAAATCTTGATGAAAGTAAATATATGCAAGATAAACGAAAGATATCTGTGTAAACTACAAAGATCACTTTTTCTCCTCATGATCAGATATTTTCTATTTTGATCACGCGTTATGCAAAGATCGAAAGGGAAAAAACCATTGTAGATCACGATGAATTAATAGCAGGAAAAGCTCCAAAATATGTCCTAAGAAAAAAATAAATTGCCAACGTCTACCAAATAGAAATATCTGTTATCGATTTTTTTTATTAAATTGAATCATTAATAGTGTTATGAAGAAAAATAGCACTTTGTCGGCTCGAAGATCAAATAAAAACGTAAGAGAGGATTGGCATCATATGGATATTTCTCACACCTCTTTTTTTTTTATTCCTCTAAACGTTATCTACTGAATCATATGTCATGTTTTTTATTTATTTATACGCATTACTTGAATAAAAAATAATAAAAAATATGCATTAATTAAAACACTTGCTTAATTTTTTTCTGTCTAAAAAATATATTGATCACGCGGCGGACTCATGCTTGTGTTGGCGAACTTCACACGAAGAGCATTAAAGAAAGAAACAAAACGATAGAGAACCATACGTTGTCGACGTGATCAATATGAGGCGCTTTTTTCTTTTCTTTTTTTTTTTTCTCTCTCTCTCTCGCTGTTTTTTCTATCCGTCTCCTCCTTCCTTCGGAGCATAAATATTGAGTACGAAGTCAAAATTGTAAATCTAACGTTAGTGTCTACAATTGCGCTCGCAACATATACAGATAAACGAATCTCTAAAAGAGAAAATTTACACCAGTATAAGCATATATATTTTATAACGGTAAGCGGAAAAATAATAATAAGGATTTAAACATATATTTTATCTTTATTCGTTATATTGAATTCATTCTATATAAATAAATCAAAACTAAAACAAAGAAAAAAAAAAAATGAAACTTAAAACTATCATTAAGGCCATTCTTTTCTTTTAGCATTTATACTTCTATCTTCATGAAATAATAATGTTACAAGAATAGTTGATCGAAACTTTCGATGACACGAAGCTAAATATAGTAAAAGTTTTTATAGAAAAAAGAAATACCCATACAGTCAACGCATGCTATTACCACTTCAGCATATGTATTGCAATTTTTATCATTAATTGTTTTTGTTATTGCTGTCAACGAGTACTCTAAAAGACTATGTATGTCACCAATGAGAAAAGAGTATAAAGGATAAATTTAAATATCATAGTTACCATCTATTCTTTTCTTGAATATAATAAGCAAAAAAATTCTATTCAAGCATTTAAATAATCATTATTTTCTTTTATTTTTATCTTTTAGTATATAGAATTTCTTAGTTATAATGTCAACAGTCGATTCATTCGATATATATTATCCAATATCATGGATTAAAACAACGACAGATCTCGTTCTCAATTTATTTAGTAGTCCTCAAAAAACGAAACGTTCATTACCTGAAGAAGCCGAATGTGGCTCTGTCGATGGCATTAGATGTTGGCTTCGCGAAGGTATATTTACATAATAGTTTTTTAATTGTTTGCAAAAAAAAATTAAAAACATTTTTTTTATTGATTTATGTATATTTAGGCGCAGATATTAATGCACCCGATGCATATGGTTATACACCACTGATGAATGCTGCTATGCTTGGTCGACTTGACGTTGTTAAAGCATTAATTGAATATGGAGCCGATATACAGAGAAAAGGTCAATTTGGTTATACAGCTTTGCATGCTGCCGCTCAAAGTGGACATTTAGAAGTTGTACAAGCCCTTGTCAAATATGGAGCAAGCGTGAATTGTAAAAATGATGATGGTGATATTCCACTTATTCTTGGTATGTAGAACAAGAAATAAAGAGAACTAAATGACATTGTTTTTTCTATATTAATTCTTTATTTCTTTTTTACAGCTGTTCGTGGAACACATGCAGAAATAATTGATTATTTGCTTAAAGCTGGTTCTGATATACATCAAAATGGTTGGCTTGGACAATCAGCAGTTCATACAGCTAGTAAGTTGAAAAAAAAATCGTATTTCTAATATATTCAAATTCTTATAAATCAATATTTATTATAGTTGCTAATGGAGATCAAGCAACAGCTGATACATTATTAAATCGTGAAATGATGATTGGATGTTCATGTTCCGAATCACATCGTCATGCACGTGAACATCTTCGACAAGCATCATCATGTTCAGTTGAAGATTAGAACCGTATTTGAATTTCTTTTTTTATGTTTAAAATCCGGTGTGTTCTTAAAATTTTTATTCCCTCACTCTATCGAATTCTTGCTATTTATGAAAAAAAAAATACTTCATCTCCGGTGTCTTCTTGTTGTTTTGTCTCTTATCAATGAACAGTGGTCTTATTTAGTCTTCACTATAGGTGTATATACATAAAAGTGGAAAGTTATTTTCTGTTTGTTACGAGTTTTTGTATGTGTTTTTTTTTGTATATAAGTGTTTTGTGTGTATGCGTATACGTGTTCCTCATTGAACAAGGATCTAATCATGTTGGATGATTGTATTTATTAATCGATAAAACAAAAAAAAATGCGAAGCAAGAGAAAATAAGAGTGAAAAAACAAATCAACTAATTTTTTTATTAATATATATATATATATATAGAAACAAAATAAAATTTTGATGGTGTCAAATTTATCTGATAGATTAAAATCAATATATTGTGTCTCGATTGCGACAATCAATGACAAGAAAATTGTGTAATTTTATGTAATCATGTGTTTTATTATAAAAACGTCCTCAAACAGTCTAAATATATACAGAGAATGTTACTCTTCTTGCCATGTGTAATTTTTTCTTTTGTAAGCTCATGTGACAATATTCTTCATTTCCTTTGTATAAATCTAATAATTTATTTCGAAAAACAGAACGAAGAATCGATTGACAAGAACACATTACATTTTGACAGAAAAACAAAACAGGGAAAATATATTAAACAGAAAATAAATTTAATATATAAATATTTATTTCAGTTGTGTTTTCTTTGCACAAATTATATGCATGATTTCTTTTTCGTTTTCTCTTTTACTTGTTAAGCAATAATATTAGTCACAGATCATAAATGAGATATTAATACCAAGTAAAAACTCCAGCTGTTTGTCCTTGTTGATTAGCACGATTTTTAATTGCTATATATGATAATAAACCTCGAATAAAAAGAAAAAATCCAGCAAATAAAACAATAGCAAAAAGAAAATTTTGTGCTGGATCATAAACTGTTGCTCTATGTGTTACTGTTGATGACATATTATCATGTATAAATGATGTATTATTAAATTCATGATAACGCATCACAGTTATCCATTTAGCAACACTTAAACCAAAACCAGACATTGCACCAAAACGAGCAGCAATTGTTGGTATAAGACAAACAACAGCAAGAAAACCAAGCCAATTGAAAAAGAAAGCAATAATACTATTCAAACAAATTTCATAAACAATAAGAATTCAAAAAAAAAGAAGTTATAACTTACAATGCCATAAGAAATGTACAATCTGTGCCAATATCCATATTTGAACCAGATACAAACCAAGCAGTTACAGTTGGATGATTATTATGATGCAATGACTATGAAAATAAATATAAAGATTTGGTTTTTATTTCAATAGATATAATTATATTTTCTTACTTGTTCATTTCTAGTATTATTATTAATACCTAGATCAATAATTTCTACTGGTGTTATATGAGGATGATGTGGTATATGATCCATATTACGTATTTTACTTGGATCAACAAGACAATAAGGTGGTGGAGCTTCAACAATTGGAGATGCTCCAGCAACATGTGCAGTCTCATGAGTATTTTGAGATGAATTTATTTCATAGGCAGGTGGTGGTTCGTCTAAGAATAAAATTATTAATTTAATTAATATATTAAGTTTAATATAACAAATAACTATTGAATCAGATCTTTATATTAAATAAGATTAGTTGAGACATGTCAATCATATAAATTAAATTTATCTTTTTGGATTATTCAAATACGGATATTCTATATGTTCTTTTTTTGTTATTTCTTGAAAGAAAAAAAGAAGGATTGGGATAGAATTCTACTTATGAAATCGAATTATTTTTGTATATTTGAGATCGATTTCAACTGTCAGATTATGTTATAATAACGAATGTAAATTTATTTTTCTCAAAAACCTTTTTTGAAATTTTATCAGTTATATTGAGTATTACAAAATGTATGATGACAACTGAAAGAAAATTCGAAAGCTTGTTTGTTTTTTTTCAAACATTATACAAATCAGTAAACATTTTAACAGCAGAACAATAGAATAATATGCAGACTCATTCGGATGTCATATTGAATTTCGGCTCAATACGTTGAATTTGATAGATATTTAATAAAGTAGGTTAATAGTTTTCATCGGTCAAATATAATTACTGCTGACGTCATTGACTAGCTATGAATATTGCTTGTTTGTCTCCAGTACATCCGGACTATAATGAGGTTTATATGGATGTTATTCATTCATACTATTGAATTGAACCGTAATCTGATAAGAATATGGATGTAGTATGGAATTATTTCCTTGTGTTATAAGAAATTTTTCTGTTGACTAAATTATCTTTTAACAGACTCTTCTCAATTTTCTAATCAGACATATACTACAAAAATCAATCATATGGGTTATAATTTATAGAAAAATAAGTTCATTGATCAACACTTTCCAGTACTTTTTTTTATACAATGACGAAAAAACATTAATCTCAATTGTCTTTCTTTCTTTTTTTTTTGATTAAGAAGACTATATTAAAATAATTTCCTAAAACATCATTTTATTTATTTTACCTAATGGTGTTGACTGTGTTGTTGTTGATACTTCTGTTTGTTGATTTATCGTTACATGTGTTTGTTCAACTGATGGTATTGAATTATTTTCCGTATTATTATTATTATTATTCGTCATTATAAATGTATCGATAATCAAAAATAGAAGAAGAGATAAATAAAATAAATGATCTGAAAGTAAACAATCAATCGTTTTGGTCGATATTTAGAAAAATAGCATGAAGTAAAGCAACCAACAAAAAAAAAGCATGCTTTTCGTGTAAATAATATACGAACAATAAGAAATAAAGACAAACACAATCTGATTGCAAGACATAAGAGAAAAGAAAGAAAAAAAACAATAACAACAACAAAAACACAATACATTTATTCTTTTAGTTTTGGTTTTCTTTGTACAAAGACGGAAGAAAAAAAAAGACGAAAAAAAAAAACAAACAAACCTGAATTTAAACTCGAACAAACGCGAGACAACCACAACAATACAATTATGATGAAATCACTGTATTCACAAACGAATTATAAATGACATATTGATTTACTTATGGTTGGTTGTTGTACCATTACCATTATTTGAAACAAATGAATTCGAACTATAAGAACGATGTAAACTTATCATTGACGTTCGATTATTATTATTATTATTATTATTGCTATTATTTGAAGAAGTATTAACATTAGGAAAGGCGGTAAAAAAATGTATATCTTGCATTGATTCAGCTAGATCAGCAACATTAATACCTAAATTTGTTATTTCACAATCAATTTGTGATAATTCTCGACGTTGTTTTTCTAAAAGTAATGTAAATTGTCTTGTACGATCTTCATTATATGCACTTAATTCTTGTTCCATCTAAAGAAAAAATAAATAAAATATATACATGTTATTTTTTTTTCTTATTAGTCAATTTATTCATTATATATATATAAGAATACAAAGTCCATAATCTAAAATAATATAAAGAGTATTCGATAGAATATTATTTCTTTTTTTCGTTCTAAACTCTGGTTATTCGATAGTCTGTTATTATGATAAAATAAATCAAAGGAAATAAAGACTTAAATAGAAACATGTACATGGGCGGGCCGGCATAGGGACGAGAGGGGGCAATTGCCCCCCCCCCTAAAAATTTTTTTTTGGCTGGGACTTAAGAAGAACGCCATGAAAACAAGCGTTTTTAAGCGAAAAAGTGCTTATTGCCCCCCCAGAAAATTATGGCCCGGCCCGCCAATGAACATGTAAGATATTTAAGAAAGTTTAGAAACACAAAATTTATTCATAATTATTGAGATAAAATATTAATTTAATAGTTAATCAAGATCTGTTTATAACGGATGATTAGAAACTAATTAGACAAATATTTTCATTTGTTTTTCAGCCTTTGCAGACATTTTTATTTTGATAAAGGACATCGTATAAATTTAAGCAGATTTCTTTAGATAACAGCTATTCCTAAATGATTGTTCTGAAACTGTTAGTTCTTATATCATTTTCCAGAGAACAATTTTGCCTTTTAATTCTATGCAAAAGTTCTACAACAACTTCTACCATACATTTGGAAAGAACACAAAATTTTGATTGTAATCTAATATTTTCAAATTTCTGCAAGTTTCCTAAAAAGTATATTAATATAAAAGACGAAGTTATTATCACACGTGACATGGAGAATTAATTCAATATGAATTTCTTTTCATGGTTAATAATAATATGTAAATATTTTCTTAGATTGATTAATATTTTCAGAATTTGATGGACCAGAGTGATACAAGTAATTTTCATTACATGCTTTATCAAATGAAGACTTTTCATACATTAAGGTCGCTTTCACCTCAAAAGAGGTCATTTTCAATAAAAACAATGATATTTTTAGATAGATATATAAGGATGTCGGTTAAAATATTCAATTTTGAAAAGATACACTATAAGTTTCTGAAGTCGACTATGATAATATTCTCAATTGAATCTAGATCGAAATCGATGAAAAAAAATTTGAGCAACTCTATTTGCTATTAACTGTATATGTCACTATGATCGCAATTTCATACGTTCTGATTAATCTTAGCGATTAATATATGAGATAGCCATATTTCTTGTTGATGTCTAATACAAGATAGATAAAATACAGAAATAAAAGCTGATGTTTTCTTTTCTTACTTTCGACTTTTGTATCTCGAAGCAAATTCTTTTTTTAGCATACTCCATTATAGAAAACGGTGCTGTTTTTGAGGGATGTGATACTTCTTCGGATGAAAAAAGAAGTTTTTTTTTAAATAGAATATAGTTCTGTAGAAAATCTCCAATCATATTTCAAAAAGAAAGCAATAATTAATAAATCCCTACCACTCATCTGAAGCGGTAGGCAATACTCTTTCAAATAAAACAATCTC